CCGATGTGGGGCTCGATCCCAGGACCCTGGGATCATGACCTGAGCCGAAGGCAGATGCTTAATGACTGAGCCACTCAGGCGCCCCTAAAAGCTTTTCAACAGCTTTTCATCTCGGCTTCGTCTCTCTTAAGCAGAGTGAGGTTAGGTGTCTACTCCAAGGTCTCCTGGCTAGTGAGTAGGTCTCAAACCTGATTCTTCACCTCCAGATATTGTGACATACCACCATCTCCCTTTCTGTGCTGGAGCCAAGCCTTGATAACTTGTCCATCCATTGGTCCCGTTTGACCCTGAGGTGTGCAGAGAAAGCTTGAATTCACCTATTTTACAGGGAGGCAGTTTGGGCCCTGTGCAGATAGGCGAGTTGCCCACATTTGCACTGCTCATCAGGAGGGACCCGGGTGGGAGCCTGTTTTGATTCTGCATTCTGTGGCCTCAAACTACATCTTCCCACCTCTTTTCCTCCACTGTCAGAGCATCCCAGCCCTCTCCTGAGAAAGTCCTCTCTCCCCATGCGCAGAATACCAGTGAGGCTGGTCTGGCTCTCTCCATGGCCCCAAGCAGAGAGCGGCGAAGAGGACCCTCTAGATAGGTCTCGAATGCTGGCGCTTTGGGAACTGAAGAACACAGCGCCTGGAGCCCTGGGAAGGAAGACGCTGCTGCTTGAGATCCCCTCTTCATGCCCGTGAGTCAGCCCAGACGCTCTCCCCGCACCCGCACCCCGGCCCCTGGCCAGAGCAGCCCTGTGGCCGGTTGGCGGCTGTCGCCCAGCCCCCAGCACCCCCACGCTCCCCCCCTCCCCCCCGGCCGCCAAGGTTGGCAGCCTCGTGGCCACGCTGCTCGACTCTGCGCCTCTCCTTCTCAGTTTATTCCTTCCAGATACACAGTTGCTGCTTTTTATTTGGATCACTTTTCTGCGTTATGGTATTTCGGTTGTTTTTCCAATGCCCGCCCCCCCCCGCCCCCCGCCTTTCCCCCGTGGCAGGATTCCTAAGAAGACTAGTTTCTGGAGAGAGCGGCGAGCACATCTGCTCCGTAGCTGCAGCATTCCAGCAGGGCCCCGTCAGGGGCTCGGGGCTCGGGAGCCGGGCGGCGGAGGCGGGCGCGCAGGGCCCAGGGCGCCCGGCAGCTGAGGCGGGTAGCGGGCACGAGCACTGCGGCAGGCAGGGCCGAGCCTCAGGGCCCGTGGGCGCTGCCAGAGCCCTGCAGCCGCGGTTCGCCAACGGCCCGGCCCCTGTGGCTGCTGGCTCCCTCGGCTCAGCTCTGTGCGTGCCAGCCTTGCGCCGGGAAAGAAAGCGGGAGCCTTCGAAAATACCCTGGCCTCTGTCTCCTCTCGTCAGCAGCTCTGAGGGGTGCGGGTCCCACGTGTGGCGGGTGTGGGAGTCCGCGGGGAGTGTGGCGGCGCACGTGCGTGTCCCAGAAAGAGTGCGCTGGTGGCACGCAGGCTTCGGCGTCACGGGGCGTGGGTTCGAGTCCTGTCTTCCCCACCTGCAGCTGCGTGCGCTCGGGCACGTCAGTGTGAAGGCGGGAACTCGTCCCTCACAGCAGTGTGAGGGTTAACGGGCCGATACATGCAAATGCCTCCTGGCACATAGTAAGTGCTCAGTAAATGTTTTCGTTATTATTATATATGCATGGGGATAGGTGTGGAATTTAGTAGATTTGGGGTGTGCTTCTTGGACTCTGGAGTGTGAGAATTGCCCCCGGAGCTTGTTAAAAGTGCTGGATTCTGGGCCTCACCTGCAGAGAGTCTGATTCAGCAGGGCTTGGGCAGGCTCAGAATTTACTTTTTTTTTTTTTTTTTTAAGATTTATTTATTTATTTGAGAGAGAGAGAGAGAACGAGCAAGAGAAGGGGAAAGGGAGAGAGAGAATCTCAAGCAGACTCCTTGCTGAGCTAGGTGCCGGACATGGGGCTTGATCTTAAGACCCTGAGATCAGGACCTTAGCCGAAATCAAGAGTCAGATGCTCAACCGATTGAGCCACCCATGGGCCCCCAGAATTTACATTTTAATTCAGAGGCCTTGGTGATGCTGATGCACTAGTCTGGGGTCTGATCTGGAATCGTCTGAGGTATCTGGGTTAGTCGGTCCTTGAAATCCTGGGCTCTGGTACATCCATCAGAACAGCTCTGTCAATGTGACTGGAGACTGGGTGAAGGGGTAGAATGGGATGAGGCCAAGAGGTAGGCAGGAGCCACCCCAGGCAGAGCCTCGAGGCTCTAAGGAATTAGGGTTGTTGGGGTTTTAATCAAGGGACTGACAAAGTCCTACTGAGTAATTTGGGTTGGGCCAGCCTGGTTTACAAACCCAGGGCACAGCAGATGGCAAGGAGGGTGTAAAATTGCAGTTTGCTCAAGGCCAGTGTGGCGGAGGGTCTATGCCCTGAAAGCAGAAGAAGCAGTATCTGGAGAGAGAGAGAGAGAGAGAATCCTCCAGATTGAGCAGCTGCGCCAACTGCCTCCTCCCTGAGGCCCAGCATCGGAGCTGTTGGCAGAGCATCCAAGCAGGGCCCGGGCTCCGTGAGCCGAGTGCCTCAGCGGCCGAGCCAGGCCGGGGCCAGACTGGAGGGCATGGCTTAGGATAAGAAGCTGGCTCTGTCAACTCATCCACTCAGGAGCTTGCAGTTTCTTGATTTATTTTTCTCTGCTTTCTCTCTTAGTAAAGATCTTTCAGAAGAATTCTTTGTTTTGACTGAGCTGGGAAAGAAGGAGGTGGGCTGTGCTGAAGCCAGTTGCCCGCTGCAGGGAGGAGGCTGGGAGAGCAGCTGTGGGCCCATGAGGCTGAGGTCTGGGCAGCTCTGAGAGCTGGGTCCCTCTCCCCTGGGATCGCCTTTCAGGTGGTGAATTTGATATGTCTGTAAGTGCATGTGAAGGTGAGTGAATGAGTGTGTGTGTGTGTGTGTGTGCATAGGTTAGTGTTATATACGTGTGTATTCCTTCAATTCATTTAATAGTGGCCACAAAATATTTACTGAGTGTGTCCTCTGTGCCAGACATTGTTCTAGATGCCTGGGATACATCAGTGAGCAAAATGAAGATCCCTGCCCTCAAGGAGCTTACGTTCTATGGGGATTTTGTACATCCAGAGAGGATGGATGGGCTTGTGTGTGTGTCTGTTGCACATTCATAGGTGAAAAATGAGGAAGAATACATGAGTACACAGGCAGACCTGGGTCAGGAACCATCTGCCATTTTCCAAGCATATGATCCTGGGCCAAATACTTAATTTTTCTGAGCCTTAGTTTTCTATGAAATAGGAAAATAATGTCTTTGTCTGACAGTTGTTGTGAAACTAAAGGTAAAAATACCTGGAGAGCTCTAGGCAAAGTGCCTGGTCTATGATAGTTGCCAAGTGATATTTTTTCTTCATGTCTTCCATGGAGTCGGAGGAGATATATCTATGTGTGTGTGCCAAGTTCATGTTTGTGTCTGGGTGAGGTCTGAACATGTGGGTTCTCCCCAAGTGAGAACCTCTGGTCCTCGGAGTATATCTTGTGCTGTGGAGATGTCTCAGGTCCGATTAAAGGTGTGGTGTTGCCTGGAAAGTTCCTTTCGAAACAAGAAGGTCTGCTGGAAAGCAGGGAGAGAAAGGTTACTAAGTCTGGAATCCCATGCATTGGCTCATTTAAGCCTTGGCTTGGGTCTGTCATAGTCCTTCCAGCTGCAGTGTGACTCTGTTGTTTGAAGTTCTGTTTTTAATGCACACGGAGAAACTTGGCCAACCCTTACTTGACACCCAGCTGCAACAAACTGCAGCTTCTCTTTCCCCAGTTTCGAGACCCCCTGGCCATGCCGAGACCTTCTTCTTAGTCCCCTCCAGATCATTCATAGAAGTAAATCTAGAAGATGGATCCAGAACCAGGACCCAAAAGACAACTGTGGGGGCAGGACTGCATTTCTTTGTAATCTGTTGGGACTTTGAAGATCCTTGCTTTCTCCCACATGGCCAGGAGAGAGGTGGGTCGAGTTCCTGTTCCCCTCCTCTAGACACTTTCCCACTCAGAAAGTCCATGGTTTGGGCCATGTGCTCTAAGAGGCTGACTCAGAGCATCTACCTGCAGCCTCAGTGTCCCTCCTCTGTTCCATCTCTAAGTGTCCATAGGATGTCCAGCTGAGGAGTCGAGACTCAATGTGCCTGAAGCCATATCCATCTCTTGATCCCAAGCCAGCTCCCTCTGGGCGTTCAGCTGTTCTGATGAACAACTCCAGTTTCTTCCAATCACTCCAGCTTGAAATTGCTGAGTCATGCTTCATATGTTTTTCTGTTGCATTTCCCACAGCTAATCAGTTATCAAATCATTCCAAGTTAGTCCCCCAACCAGGCCTTTGCCACTCCCATTCCTGCTGGTCAGACTGTCATCAGCTCCTATTTGGCCTCCCCCTTGGCCTCGCTGCCCCCAGCTTCCCTCTCCTGACCAGCCAGTCCACCTTCCTAGAGCACCGCCATGTGTTCGGTGCCCACCTCCGCCACTGCCCCCCACTGCTCCCTTCAGCCCCAGCGCCCTCTCCTCTCCTCCACAGACTCCGCTCCAACCTTCCGGTCCCTGGACACTGTGCACACTCCTGCTACCCTACCTTTGCTGGAATTGTTTCCCCTGCCTGCAATCCTTTTCCCCATTCCAACATTTTACCTAAATCCTAGCCATCCCTAACACTATATAACTCTCCTGGTTTTGGAAGCATTCTGAGCAGGGGCACCTGGGTGGCTCAGTCGTTAAGCGTCTGCCTTTGGCTCAGGTCATGGTCCCAGGGTCCTGGGATCAAGCCGAGGGTCGGGCTCCCTGCTCAGCCGGGAGACTGCTTTTTCTCTCTTCCTCTACCCCCCACCCTCAGCTCATGCTCTCTCTCTCTCAAATAAATAAATAAAATCTTAAAAAAAAAAAAAAGAAAAAAGACAACATGGCTGAGCAGGTGGGAAAAGAGGGGAGGAGAGAACTATAGTTGCTAGCAGTTTGCTAGAGGGAGAGCATTTAGTTCAGGTTTGGGGTAGCCTTTTCTTTGGGAAAAAGCAACATAAGCCTGAAAACGTGGAGTCACTGTCAGCCTGAATGCAGATGTTCACTGTTCTGGTTCAGCAACGTAAGTAGCCATGCTTTGGAAGAGAGGGACAGCCTTTGCGTTCCTTTTTCTCCTAAGGTTTGAGGAGAGGAATTGCGGAGGAGGGGGAAGCCTGGACTGGTCCCTGTACAGGAGACTTGACTATTTTCAGCTCAAGTTTGGAGAGTTACTCGCCGGAGATGGCAAGCATAGATAAGCAGGCTTCCAGAGGAGGTTGGAGAGGGTCTGGCACTGTTGCTTTGGGACCCAGGGGACATACCTTGGCACAGAGTGGGGGAGCAAGATACTCTGTCCACCCCTACAAAGACACAGCAGCTCTCTAGAATCCTGGGGGCATCACAAGAGGTAGCAGTCATGGATATGGCGGGGGGGGCACCCCACAAGGAGCATCTCTAGCAGAGGTTCCTTTCATGGGCTTCCGTGCGCCCCGCATGGTGACTGCTGTGGATAGACGAATTTGTGACATCATTGGAGATGCCCCATTGGGAGCTCCCAGAAATATTTGAGGGAAATATTGCAAGGAATGGGGCTCACTGTCATTGTAACTCATTGTTAAAGTAGCAACAAATCATTTATACCCTCAGCAGGTGAAAACGAAATACACTAGCGATAGATATAAAGACCAT